TGTTTCCTGACAGTTCTGGCGGCCAGTCTGAAATTCTTTCAGCTAGAAGCATCTGCCGAAAAAAACGATGCCGGTAGCAACAAAAACCTGCGGGGAACTTTGCAAAAAACGCATCTTCGCACGGGCAGCCTGTGCGTTGGCCATTTATTATCACTTGGTAAGATATTAGTTCTTTTCATTGAGGGATCGTGCATGCATGCCTGGATATTTTGATCATTCCAACGCAATAATATGGAATTTCGAAGGTGTATATTCGAGCGACCTAAAATCGTTGTTGCAAAAATTTCACTCCGTCAGCTGATTGACAGTCTTGTCCTTTCTCGGGCCGAAAAAGCTGAGTGGTGTTTTTTACAGCAAGTTAAAAACATTGTATGCTTTCAGCTAATCTACGCTTTCACAGAATTGAAGTACTTCTTTCAGGCACCGGCGTGATTCTTCTTCATTGTCGTCATCGGCAGCCGCTAAACATTTGCGAAATTTGCCGCCAGGATGCACTCCGGAAGAATATCTGAAATTTGCAGTAAAAGAAATGAAAGAAGGACTAGTGAACAGCGAACACGAATCGAGTGCTCTGAAGAGTGCCAATTTGCCGCACTCAATATCGAGACATCCAGCAATAGCCATTGAACATCGCAGTATTGCCGCAGATGATGAGGAGCACAAGCTCCTCAAACATTCACCAACCAAACGTGAGCTGCTTTTTGTATGTCGTGTGAAATCTTGCTATGGCTTGTTCCGTGTCGGGAAACCGCCTTTTCAACGGCTGCTACGTCCAGAGGTCATTACATTATATGTTTGGCAAAAATTCAGCTGTGCAAATCATTGCGCGTTTGATCAGCGAACAGTCACAAAAAAACGCACAGCTATGACCAGCTCAGTTCTTAGCCAACATCTCTTATAACAGCAAATTCAAGAAGCTAGGACAAGGGGAAAGCCAAAAACTCTCTTAACTTTTCTTGGACATATGCTGTCCTTCACTCGCTGTGTATCCCACTCCATAAATGTCTCACTTTACACATGCGCATGGCCACAATCAAATTTTACCGGAATCACCTATATGGAACCCTAGAAATGCAGCCATAATGCAGAGTGAAGTTAACATTGCCTGGTTCCGTTTGTAGCCGGCCATGAATTAGCGTTATTCGGAACAGAGACAATTTTCGATTCGCAACCTCAGTAAAATGGGTGATTGATGATGCTAAAAAGTTCTATCAATACTGACTTAAAATGTAAATAATCTTGCAAAATTTCCTCAGCGCTCGTCGATGTCACTTTCTCTCATCTTCATGGAATTCGTAGGTCAAAATTCGCTCTATATTTCGTTTTCCGTAAGAGTCGGAGGCATTCAAAAGAAGCTTGAATAAGAAGCATGCGCCAACAGTAACTGCCCGATGGTAGTTCCCTCTTTCGAAAGTCACTTGGGGCTTGTTTAAGCTTAGTCCGAATCAAGTAGCAGATGCTTTCAGGATGAAGACAATGAACGTGCGTCTGTTTGTTGCAAAAGATTTTAAAAATAACAATGTAAGTTTACTGAACAAGCAGAATTTTTAGTGTGCAAGGATTTCGAATGGGATGGACCTGTATTTCTGGACGACGCCCACACCCACTCAAAAGTACCATACTGTTATAAGGTATATTTATTAAACTGCTGCTTTATCGATCCGTTGAGTGCAAAATACTGTCATGAGTAGCTGAAAATACTTTGACTGGGATATTTTGTTTATTGCGCTTGTGGCAGTTAGACTCAGCGTATTAGCGAATGGCACCGGCAGTCAGGAACTGAACAGTCAGATAATTTCCAAAAAGATGGTACTCGTGCGTGTGTGGCGCAACACTGAAAACAGACGGCTTCGACGATTGACTGTGCATATTTGCAATCAGAATACTGACCTCATCTCGCAAGTGTGGAGGGTCTCCATATTTTCAGCCCAAGTAATTCTGATTCGGCAGCCAACTTAAAAAAGTTCAAGTGAACCTGTAGTTTTGAAACGTATGTAAAATTGGCGTTTGAGAACTGAAGTCCAAAATGCAAAAGCGAAAGCCGAATGAGTCAAAGTGGCACTGACATCGCTCGGCCTGTGGCTTATTCCTCAAGCAGCCCTCTAAAAAAAGTATCATCAGCAACCTCACGTGCAGTTTCTCTTTGTTGGAAATAAACCATCAGTTCTGCGTGCTCTGTTTCTTCGAGTTGGGTGAAAAATAGAAGGATTTTGAGTCCAACTGTAAGTTTCGAAAAATGAATTAAAGAGAAATCTCTTTTTTCTCAAAGCCAATTCTACATGAATGCTTATGCTCGTGGTTTTTTGTACCCTATCGTTTAGAAATTAAAACTTGAGGTAGTTTTCGCTAAAAGTAAAAACTTTTTTTTGAGTGATTTCGTTCATTTTTTTCGAAATTCAACGCCATTTCCAGTTGCTATCAGCAAGTACAACCTTTCTTATACCAAAACCGATGTCTGAATTTTACTCGTGGAATCTCCCAAAGGATTATTGACCTGTTGTGACTCAAATCCAGTCTGTCATTTTTTCCAGCGCTAGACCACGTTGTCTCTGCTAGTCAAAGTAAAAATATTCTTTGTCTTTGCAAAGTAATAATAGTCATGAATCTCAGTACGTTGCAAATATCGACGAAGAAACAGACGAGGAAGCCAAGCTAACACAGAAAAGCGCTCGCGAAAAGTGCCGAGCATACAGCAGTCAAGGTGATGGAGGACCATCTGATCTCGCATCAGTTCATTCCAGCGATGAAAACCACGATTTAAAAAGTGCGTTAGCAATTCTTTCAACAGCCAGCACTTCGTAACGAGCTGCTGCGGACACGCAGCGTGTGAAAGCATTACGACATACAACAGCTGCTTCATCTCCTTGCGACCGTATTTGGGCAGGCGCAAGTGAAAATAACCTCTCCTTTGGGGAACGAATGTTGGAATGGTATTACTGTGGCGGTTTTTATGCGTTTTTGCATAAACGCAAATTGCAAAAACGCATATTGGCAAGCGGTTGTGTGTTTGTGCGTGTGCTTGTGTGTGTGTCTGTGTGTTCGCATTTTTTGTCACTCACTTTCAACTCGAGAACCAGAGAAGCTAGAAAGCTAAAACTTTAGAGTTATGTGCCCATACCATGCGCGATCCTCACGTTTTCATATCATCGCCCGCCTACGCATGGGTACTGCTTACGGACGTCTCAAAAAAATATGCAAATTTTTTGGCAGGAAGGCGATCTCAGAAACCAGACAAGATAAGGGGCTGTAACTGCGTAGGGACATTTCCTGTGTATGTATGAGCTAAAGTTTTTAAATTTAGCCTTCAGATATGTGTGGTTCTCACGTATGAGCACGTGAAAGATTTGACGAGAAAATTGCTAACTCGGTAACCAGGAAAGCTGGAAGGCTGAAATTTCAGAGTGATGTTCCCTGCCCACGTGCAATTTAAAGATTTCGAATTCAGCGCTCAGGTGTGCATGGTTCTCACGTACAGGTACTTAAAAGTTTTGGCAGGAAAATTGCTCACTGAACAGCTAAGCTGCTTTCAAAGAACGACCGTTAAATGGAAATTATTTATTTTATGCAAAATTTATGGTGATTTACGCTAGTGAGCACAAAAAATAGGTATTACTACGGCGAGACGACGTTACGACGAATGTTCCGCAGATTATTCGGAAGGGGGTACGACGAGCTTCGGACGAGACTTGAATGAACGCCAATGCTGTGTGTGCTTAGTGGAAAGACTGAAGTAAACAAACGAACTTTATCAACACTAAGTACAAGTTTATAGTTGAGTACTTGGAGCGACGGGATCAAGTCGGACGATTGCAGCGACAGCCGCTGCAGACGAAAACTGCTGATCACTGGAGTGCAGCAACACACTGCTGCAGCTGAAGACTGGACCCCAAGCACGGAACACGGGGCACTACTGGACACTGAACAATGAATACTGAACACTGAAACACTGAACTTTACAACAAATTTACAGGCTTAAATACTCAACACAACGGGTGGGACAGATCACAGGTCAATCTGCTGCGCGATTCTGGATTGCTGTTTGCTTCTCCTGCGCGCCATCTTTTGCTCGCTATACATAGGTGTAAAGCAACAACCATTCATGCAGTTAGTGACCTGAGTACTTCAAGTCTGATGCAAAAACGCATGATCACACCGGCAAGCCTGGTGCGTTTCTACTTGGGTTAATTAATGCCAATTTAGTTGGGCGCTTCTGCGCACTACAGTGTTAGTGGGCTGCGGAGGGATTTTGGCGCTCTTGGGACCGTGCATGCCCGGGAATTATATTTCCAGAACTTCAGTTTCTTCACTTCTGCATTCTCAAGTTTAGCCATCTCAAATAGACAGACATAGAAATACATGTCCTCTTTTCCGCACACACACACGCGTATCTGTGACTTATATAAATTTCGTTGAAAGCCGTGAAGCTTCTGAATTTTATCACTCTACAAATTCTCATTTCCCTTAGAGAGCAGCCTGTTACAAGACGTTGATGGGGTTGATTTTTATTTTGTTGAGAGTACAGATTTTTTTAATTTCAGGAATTTTTGCAACTTTTTACGTAGAACTGGAATAAACAAGCGTTTCCATTCTCTTTCGCATTGCTTAGCTACAGTCTCTAGAATTCTCAGAATTTTGAAACCAGAAATACTCCTCATTGTCGAAACATTTCCTCAAGAATTTTACTTGAGAATTTGGAGGAAAATCAGAAATTTCGCAAATATCTTGCCCATTTTTGCTCTTCTTTTTGCAGTGGAAATGAATGGCTAGAGCACCGAATGCTGGTGCGAAGATGCGTTTTTTGCACAGTTCCCCGAAAGTTTCTGTCACTAACGGCACCGTTTTTTGCGGCAGATGCTTTTAGCTAAAAGAATTGAGACTCCCCGTCACGACTATCAGAAAACGCCCTCTTAAAATTCGCTGGCTTTTCTAGTCCCCGAGTTAATAGCTTACCAGCCAAGAACTTTAATGACCCGTACGTGGGACAAACTTGAGTAGGAGCACCCATTGTGGAGACCTGTACTTGCATGTAGATTAAGTTTCCAAAGTTTCATCGCTGTAGCCTTTATATAGGCCTCAAAATGAAAATTGGTACAGACGAACACATAGACACACACGCACACACAGACAATCCTTCAATACTATGTGTTTTTGCATTGTATAGATGCAAAAAACTCATAAAAATCATCCTGAAAGCTGATCTTTTGTTTTTAATTTTTGTTGATCTTTTCCTCATCGCTGACTCTGAGAATTGTTTTGGCTAAATTTCTAGGATTACTGCACAATTATGCCTTAGCAGCATTGAAGTCTGCATTGCGTTTGTTGCAGATTTTGTTGGATAAGAGTTGAATTTCTAGAATCCTAATGGCAAACGAATTTTGTCAAAATTCGGCCTGCAAATATATCATTATTTAGCAACTTTGCAGCTTCATTGACATTTTTTGGTTGGAATTCTGCATGGATTGGATTGGCATACGACAACGTGCGGTCGACATGGCGCTGGCTGGATGACACCCCACTATCATTTTCCAAACTTTCATTGCGTGATCCAGCACAGCACTGCGCAGTTCTATTGCCAGATGGCACCTGGCGCTCCGAAGACTGCAAAACCAAAAATGTTTCACATTTTATTTGCAAGAAAAAAGCAATTGCGTGAAAAATCTTTTGCATATTGATGTGTATCCAAAATTCCACTTTAAGTGGCCTGGGCTTATCTGCCTCGGAGAAATTCCTGGAGGAAGTAGAGCAGAATGGCGGCCTTTTCCTTTTTGCGGAGAATCGGCGACTTTCGTCTTCAAAAAAGGGATTTTTAAGGCTTGGCAGGACTGGACGGAAGCAAGAACCTATTTACTGAATCTCTGATCACTTCCATTGCTCCTACCCCGTCCTTTCATCCCGCATGTTCTTGTTGCACGTCTACTGCATCCGCGAATACATCACGACTTATAAACTTAATTAGATGCAATCCAGACAGAGACAAAAAAGAGGGGAAGTTGTTTACGTTTCCATTCGGCAATCGTGGCAGATCTCGCCGCTCTGAACATCACAGATATTGCCTAACCATTAATACCTACCCTATTAAATAATGGAAATTACGTTAGCTTGAAGCATATGTAAAAAATGTGGGAACTCAAGCCACAGACCATTGTTCTAGCCTTTGCTTGCGAGCAAAAGTGGATTAGTCGTGGCAAAAGCGTTATTTAACAATAAATACGTTCAGGCAATCTTGTATTAACTTTTTGCAAAATTAAAAACACTGAAGAAGTCCTGTATTAATTGTTCAGACAATTTTGCTCGCTCATTCTGATGAGCAAGATTGCCTGAACAATTAATACATGATTTTTTTCAGTGTTTTTAATTTTACAAGAAAGTCTTATAGCCGTGAAGAGCTGTGCCAGTGATTTTTGACTTAAGCTGTATATCATCAGCGAACAATTGATATATGCACCATTTCTTCATCCACTACCAACGTGACCGCTGGAAAAGCCAAACCCCAGTGCTTCATCCACATTTGAGACATTCAAAAATATTTAGCAAAAAAACTGAGGGCCTCATTAATCAAAAACATAGCCATTGCACTCTGTGTCCACAAAATTTCTGTTCCGAATGGTCAGTAAAGATGAATAATTAAGATTATCTAGTGAATCTATTGAGAAAATGCATGCACTGCTTCAAACAATTTCACGTTAATGCTTTGGCACAAAAAATACTGAAATTACTCATTCGAGACTCGATAATTTATAACGAAAGTGATTTTTTTATTTATAAAAATAATCAAGAGGAACATGGATATTACAAAGACATAGTAGGGGGTAACATCGGCCAATGCACTTGTAACTGACAAAACTCGCCTATAAGAGGCAAAAAATGTAAAAACTGACTTTTCAGTCGCACTAGTGAAAAAAGAATTGTCCCAGACCGCAACAGTTCCTATTATGCAGGCAGGTCTGCACTTACAAGGCTGTACAACAAAGTTCCCTCACAATATACTGTTACAGTGCACTGTATTGGTAATTCTGTTTTTGCTACTACTGAACCACTTTTATTCACTAGCAAAGGCTAGCACAATGGCCTGTGGCTTGAGTGCTTTGCGCTTTTATGTGCTACGACCAAATGTTTTGGAAAAACTGTTGATGGGTTCCTCTTTCGCCCTTTTTTGGGATTGAGAAGAAAAGAAACGATTTCAACGTCAGCACATCTGTGGCTCATTGCCATTGAATTCCAAGGAAAAATGCTGAAACTAGCTTTTGCCAAAGGATGGTTAGTTCAAATTCAAACGGTACTGTCCGCGATGCTTGGCATGGCTAAAATTGATTGGTTTTTCTTTCCAAAATCCGCAATTTGTTTTACATTCCTTGAAGATTTTTATAATTGATTATTTTTACAATCTTCATTAGTAAATTTTGTGCCTGCGCGAACCTGAGGATTTTTTCAGCTAAAGCCGTTTAACTCTGTCCCAGTCAATATTTAACACGGGAAGACTGGGCAGACAGCAAAGAATTTTGCTCTCGGTAAAACAAAGTAAGGCGCTAGGATTGCTATGCTGCTTGGGGTGCCTCACGTGCGTTGTTAACGTGAAGTGGCTTTTGGGGATACGCAAAGTGGGCGAAATTTTGAAGATTTAAAAATTAGCGAAGTAAAACTACGGTTCAATTTTTAAGCCACTTTTTGACATTTAAATAATATTAAAAAATTGCTTAAAAATTCTACATAGCACAGTCACTGTCTGATGAACTAAGTCGTGGTGCGTGACTGCGTCCTAATAACATCTGTGGAAGTGAAGCTCAACATATGGTAGGAGATTA